TCAAGGATACTTTTGACAATATTTGATTGAAATTGACAGTAGACATAAGGTAATGCATGGTGCAGGATGCTTTCAGGAAATAGAAATTGTTCAGACAATATTTTGAGAGAGACATGCAGATGAAATACCTGGAGAACCACAGGAAAGTATCATCAGGACATGCCCAAGCCTACCTTTATGCCCATATATCCAGTTCCTGATTGTATGCCAATTAAATCACTTATATTTCTATGTCCAACGCAATTCTGTTTTCTACATTCTAAATCCATAATATCAGTTGCCATTTTATATCTTCACATGGAAGTCTCAAAGGCATATCCAAGTCCACTGTTTAAAATTCATCCTCTTTCCCCTAAGACTGGTCTTCTTTTAGAATCACCTCTCTCAGTAATTGGCATAGCCATCTGTCAAGAAACAAGCCAGAAACTGAGGGATGAGTTTTGAAACTTCATTTCTCTTCACACATCACAGCTAATCCATTCCTTTATTTTTCATTCATCAAGTGTTTATTGAGCACCTCTTAAGCACCACCATTTTCTAAAGTGCCTGGGGCATGGTGGTATAAACAACAACTTTCCTGTCATCATGCAGCATATGTAGCGAAAGGAAGGAGATGATAACACGCAGGTAGATACATATTTTGAAAAATGTTCAAAAGGAAACCAAACATGCCATAAGGAGACACTGGATGGAATAGGGGAAGCCAAATTTAGATGTCATAGTTAGGAAAGTCTTCCTCAGGGAGGTGATTGTGAACAGGCAAGGTGTGAGCTAGGAGTGAAGATCATTTCAGGGAGGGCAAACAGCAAGTACAATGGTCTGAAAGCAAGAAGAAGATTTGGTGTCCAGAAGACCAACATGGCTGGAACATTGTACCTAAGGGGAAAAGAGAAAGCAGAGAAGGAAATGTAAAGGGAAGCTAATGAAGGGTGATAATATGGCCCCCGTGATGTGCGGAAAAAACACTGTAGGGCTTATATTTTTAACTGTCACTCTGACCCTATTTTTAAAATGGACTGGAAGGTACAGAGGCAAGAACCCCATTTAAGCATTTTTTGAATTAACTCAGGTGAGAAACGATGGTGGTTTGGACTTGGGTATTTGTAGTTGAGGTGAGAAAATAAACAGAATAAAGAAGTATTTCGAAGATAGAAAAAAACCATAATCAGGAAATTGCTCATTGTGGGGAAGGAGGAAAAAAGAGAAATCAAAGATGACCTCTAGGCTTGGACAACTAGATAGAAGGGTGGTGTCACTTACTGATGTGGGAAAGGTGTCAGTGGTGATGGTGACCAAAGTGGGGTGGTTGTGGTGGTGGATAGATGGGGCATACCTTTGAAACTTGGAAATAGAGTGAGTGTAAATCAGAGTTTGAAGAAGAGGTCAGGGCTGGAGACCATATTTGGAATGAGATGAGATATTCTAGGGAAGAGTGGGGCAAAAGAAGAAGGCCTAAAATGAACCTCTGGTGCAGTCCAACATTTAGAGGTCAGATTTGGTATCATCAAGACCTATCCATTTCAGATCCCAAATATTTCTCAATTTCTTTCTATTTTTCCCTATTTCTACTGGTGTGACAGTGTCGCATACTGGCCCAAACAAGCTATCATCACCTTTCTCATGGACCACTGCAATTGCTGGGTTTGTTTTCTTAGCTAAAATAATACAAATTTATTATTATACAGTTCTGGAAGTCAGAAGTCTGGAATGGGTCTTATAGGGCTGAAGTCAAATTATTTAGAAAACTGAGTTTCTACTTGAGAATCTAGTGGAGATTTTGTTTTCCTACCTTTCCCAGCTTCTAGAAGCCACCCCTATTCCTTGGTTTTTGGCTTAGCATCACCCTGACCTCTCCTCCTGTCATGATGTCTCCTCTGTGACTCCTGCCTCGCTTTTTCACTGTTTTTAAAACAAGTTTTGTGATCGCTTTTTAACTGGTTATCCTGTACTTCTCATTTGATCTACATATTATGAATAGTGTAATCTCAGATACTTAGTTTATCATGCTTCAATCACTTTCATGATATCTAGTTTCTTTAACAGTAATGATCAAAGCCCTTCCATCTGACTTGACAGCTGTGCACAGTCCTTTCCATCCTCACCTTACTACTTCCGTCCCTAGTTCTTTGTGCGCTAATTGCCCTGTCATTTTATCAGTTTCTTTCTTTCGTACACACCACTTTCTCCCCAGCCATATTTCCTGGGTACATGTTATTTTTTCTACTTGGAAAGTTACATCTCTGCTTTTATCCCAAATAGTTAATTCCAATCTATCCTTGGACTTCAACTAAAATATCACTTCCACTAGAATATCTTCCTGAAACATCCATACTACATTTATATGTCATTTGCAAGTGCTGGAGAAGCAAACCCAGCAGCATGGTTTAAGAAAAGGAGATGTAATATAAAGTCCAGAGATAGTTGTTGTCAGGAGAGGCTTGATCAAAGACTGCATTATTTCCTCGGGACCAAGTTCCTTTCTGTCCTTTGGTTGTGTTATTCTTAATATTGACTCTAATCTTTAAAAGGTTAATTCATCCACATCACAAGGTAACAGTGATAATTTTAATAATCAAATCCTCGCCGGGCATGGTGGCTCACACCTGTAATCCCAGCACTTTGGGAGGCCAAGGCGGGTGGATCACGAGGTCAAGAGATCGAGACCATCCTGGTCAACACGGTGAAACACCATCTCTACTAAAACTACAAAAAATCAGCTGGGCATGGTGGCGCGTGCCTGTAATCCCAGCTACTCAGGAGGCTGAGGCAGGAGAATTGCCTGAACCCAGGAGGCGGAGGTTGTGGTGAGCCGAGATCGCGCCATTGCACTCCAGCCTGGGTAACAAGAGCAAAACTCCGTCTCCAAAAAAAAAAAATAATAATAATCAAATCCTATGGGAAAGAGTGAGGAGGCTCTTAGGAGGCACAGGTAGTTTTATTGGTCATTTCGGGTTAAATGCTCTTCCCCTAGAACCAGAAGACGAAGCCTACCCCACATGGAATGAGAATGGAGAAGAGGAAAGAGGTGAAGGGTGATGGGCTTTGTGCAACCTGGACTCAGGCAAAGTCTTCTGCTCCTATCAGATGCTCACTGAAGTCAGCATCTTCCATTTATATAGCAGGGTATCTTACTTGGTCCGTGTACTTGGAAGGGAAACAATTACACTTTATTTTCTCTAACTTGTATTTAAAATTTAACATTTCGTGTAATTATGCATGTAGCCAATAAACCACAGTAGCTTTAGCAATAACTATGACTTTGCCACCAATAGGAATAACAGATATTTTCATATTCACTAGTTCCAATCTTTAAATATTGTTTATGTTTATTTCTTCAAAATTATGGTAGTTGTAGCAAGATGGCCAAATAGAAGGCTCAACCAACCATCTCCCCTACAAGGACACCAATTTAACCACTACCTACACAAAAAGGCACCTTCATAAGAACTGAAAGTCAGGTGAGCACTCACAATACCTGTTTTTGACTTCATATCACTGAGAAAAGCATTAAAGAGGGAGGGTAGAAAAGGCAGCCTTGAATTGCTGACACCACCCTTCCCCAACATTCTGGCAGTGGCTGTGTGGTGTCGAGAGTGTCATGCATTGGGATGGGGAGAGTGCAGCGATTGTAAGACATTATATTGAACCTAGAACTACCCAGTCATAGCAGAAAGCAAAACCAGGCTGAATTCAGCTGATACCTACCCATGAAGGGAGCATTTAAACCAGCCATAGCCAGAGAGGAATTGCCCAATCCAGTGGGCAACTCAGACCACCCATGTCACTACTTGAGTTCCAGAAAGCCTCACCACTATGGGCTAAAGGGCTCTGACACCCTAAATAAACTTGAAAGGCAGTTTAGGTCACAGGGATTGCAACTCCTAGGTGAGCTCTGTTGCTGAACTGGGCTCAGAGTCTGCGGACTTGGCAGCGGGGTTATGTGACCTACAGAGACAATAGATGGGGCAGCTAAGGGAGTGCTCATGCCACTGCTCTCCCAACCCCAGGCTGCATAGCTCATGGGTCCAAAGGAGATTCCTTTCTTCCACCTGAGGAGAGGAGAGGGTAAGGCAAAGAGAACTTTGTCTTGCATCTTGTATACCAGCTCCACCACAGTAGGATAGGGCAACAGTCAGAGTCATGAAGCTCCCTTTCTAGGTCCTAGCTTCTGGATAACATTTATAAACACACCGTGAGCCAGGAGGGAACTCACTGTCTCAAAGGGAAAAACCTCCTCCTGGCAGGAGACATTACTTGCTGACCAAAGAGCCTTCGGACCCTGAATAACCAGCAGCAATACTCAGGTAGTATGCCGTGGTCCTTGGGTATGAGTCTGGCACTTGCTGCCTTTAAGTGAGACTCAGCACATCCCCAGCCATAGTGGCTATGAGGAGAGACTCCATCTGCTTGAGGAAACTGGAGGTAAATGTAAAGAGGACTTTGTCTTGCAACTTAGATACCAGCTCAGCCATAGGCGGTTAGAGCACCAAGTGGAGAGGGTATCATAGCAAAGGACACTGAAGGGGCTCAAGTACTAAACCTTGAATGTTGGGTTGGTTTTGTGCTGGTTACCAACTGTATAAACAGCACCACCACCATTTACTTAGTCTATCAAGGATAAAAATCCAAGAATCAGTCTTGACTTTGCTCATTACTCATTTATCACCTGTAACTAATGATTAGCAAAAATTTTGCTGCGGTCCATGTTGAGAGAGTAAGATTTGAGTGATTACTTCAGATCTCAAACACTGTAATCTGGCTCCTTTTTTCAACTGCCTTTGGCCTATCTTCTATTTCTAATCACTCTTATGTTAACCAGAAAGTCGTGTCTTCTCTGGAAAATAATACAGATTTTGCAGTCATAAATAGCTTTTGTAGAAATAGTCTTCTTAATACTTTGCAATTGAATAGGTATCTTATTTTGTTCCCAGGTTTTACATCTGTAAATTAAGAGAATATCAGGATTATGCTTAGTTTCATATAACAAAAACTTCAAATGATGTAGCGTAAATAAGATAAAAGTTTATTTTTACTACATGGAAAAATGTTCTGAGAGAGGAGATCCAGGGTTGCTATGTGGCTCTACGAAGATGTCAGAGACTCAGGTCAGTTTCAATTCACTGCCCTGACACATTGTCAGGCTCCAACCAATACATCTGTATACCAGACAGTGGGATGGAAAAAACGGTAATGAAGAAAGGCACACATTTCCAGTTCTGTTTTGCTCACCAGAACTCAGTCACAGAGCCACACCTTAGTTTAAAAGGAGGTTGATAAATGTGTTTTCTAGTCCTGTGCCTTGTACATAGCTAAAAATTGACAGGGTTTTTTTTTTTTTTTTTTAAAAATAACAACAACAAAAGCCAAGGAGGTCAATAAAATGTCTAGCTCATAGTGTTAACTTAAATTAGTGTTATTTTGTCTTTCTTATCCACTCATATTTTTCTTAAATCATGTTTTCTTCAATCATATGGATTCTGGTGTTGTTTGCATTAAATGTGTCCACATTCTTTGTTAGATTTGTACCACATTAGTTTGTGTCTGTACAATGCAACTAAATAATAAAGTAATATTAGAACAGACTAAAATTTGCCTCGGAGTAGGTATTTCATACACATTGTATGCTTCTTCATACATCATAAGAAGAAACCAAATACTTCAGTTTTAGGAGAATATATAAAAAATCCAAAGAGCAGATTAGGGAAGAGAGATTAGCAGTAGGCATGAATATAGCCTATGCTGCATAAATTTAATTTGCTTTGGATATCATCGCATTCCTGTTCAGACTCCTCCCACTACTGCCTTACACAGATACAATTTACCTCTTGTTCCTGATACTAAGTCCTGAGAGATCCTACTTATTTCCTTTACCAAAACTTGCTTTCTTCTTTATTTCTAGAATACTGAATAAATAAATAATGGGGAAAAGCATTTCAATTCTAAATGAGCAAGCCTTCAACCCAGATGCAAGATCAGACTTGTAGAATTTCAGACGGCATGGAGGACTTGTCAACACCAAATTTTCATGGACTTACCCTTCCTATGTCAAAGCTAGGCTTCCAGATCTGTCAGGGCAGAGGATTTCTCTCTGTGGGTCTTAGTTTCCAAATTTATTACATGAGAGGTGGATGTGATATTGCTAATTTCATGCTGCAGGGGGCACCATTTTCATTGTATTCTATGTATCACTCAGATGTGCCAGACACATAAAATGAAGAGAGATGGTATCTGTATTATTTGATAACATAATGGTCCTAGATAATATCTAAATTTTTTACATTCTAAAAATTCTGACTCCCAGAATCTATATAATTGCCTATTTCCCTCAAACTTTTGCTGGAGAAGCTATAGACATTTTGGATAATAGGTATGTGCATACTACATTCCTAGTGTGTATTGTGGTCATGTTCAGTCCTTGGTATCATAGTTCCAATTACGTTGCTTTTCCTTCAAGAAAACACACCATAAGCTAACTAAATGGGAGTTTTTATTGCTCTGTGGATACCCTTATATTTGCTTTGCTTTATACACTAAGAAAATAATTTATGAATAGGTTCTTTATATATGTTTAATTACAAATTATAGCTCTCCTCATTTTGAGTTTGAAAACTAACCTATTAGTACATAAACTACAGATTATATGACACAATTTTAGGGGGCTCTGGTTAAAGGAGAACTTTTATTAATTACACAAAATAAGAATCTATATGATGATGACAAACTTGAGTTTACATGTATTATTCATTTGCTTTTATATATTCTATTGACCTTATAAATTAAGACATTTACTATACAAGAAATAGCTTATGTTAGTCGATAAAATGTAACTTTTATTAAATGGAACAAAATGGTGGAGGTTTATGATCATCAGTGGAGTCATGGTGTATTCAAGGTACATCTGAAAAACTTTATCAACCACCATGATCATTATTATTCTAGGTTGTGAGCAGATGATTCGTGATTCCCAAGCAATATGTAAATATATGAACAGAGTTTACGGTTGTGATAAAATAAAACTTTCAACACAGTTTATCTGACTTTTTATGGAACATATAATACTTATTTTGTTGCAGAGTAAACAGGCATACATTATAAACAGTTCGATTTAAGGTTCATGATTAAAATTACTTTTACTCAGACAAATAATATTTTTAGTTTGTTGTATCTTTAATCAGCATCAATTGTGTTGCAATCAAGGAATTGATTAGAATGGGGGTATTTACCACTACTTAAAAGCATAATATATCATTCTCTAAATTTACTATATCTTGAGAAGAGGAAAGAAGAGATAGACTTTTCTTGTTCTAGAGGCAGAAACACAGAGTCCGTTAAAATGAAATTCATACTAGAGTAAATCTGAAAGCTTGAGTGTGTCTATTAGAATTTGGGATTGAAAAATAAAACTGTAATAATTGCATTCTTTACTGTATTTGCTAAATGTCTAAGCCAGGATGATTTGAAAATTTACTGTGTTACCTCCTTAGAAGACCAGGGCTTTAGTAGAAGTTAAAAACTTAGCATAGTAGATGGATCTTTTTATGTTCAACTATTTGCTTCCCTCTTCTTGTGACAGGGGTCTAGCAGTGTGACTTGTTTAGTCCAAAGAAGTATGAGTGAAAGTGATGTCTTACACATCAGAGCATAAGATTTAAAACACATTGTGAGGGTTCACCATGTTCTCTTTACCTTTTGTCAAGAGACTGGCATGTTTCAGATATGTTCCCTTAGGCTGGATCCCTGAATGGAGATAACGTGGACCAGAGCCGTGGACCAGAACCATGGACCACCTTCACAGGACCAGTGACATAAGCAAGAAATAAGGCTTTGTTATCTTAGCCGCTGAGACCCTGTGGATGTTGGCTTCTACCAAATAACTGAACCTAAGCTTAGAGACATGCTATCCAATATGAGAAAATGTGCTGTGTGCTCCTTGTTGACATGGGTCAACAAATGTAGAGGCAATTAAGTTGTATAAACACATCACAATGTAAGTAGCAATATTGAAATTCCAGAGAGATTGTAAAACAACATAATTAAAGCATAAATTGTGATTACTTTTATAGAGGCATTCTTTCATTTGATGGACACTTAGAAGACACCTTCAATTGTAGCACTATGAGAAATCTTTTGAACAACATTATGTCTTCTGTACTCAGGGAAATTGATCCCTAGATAATAAGCACCCCCATGAAGGAGTATGGATAGGAAACTGTGGTCCTAAAAATTGGGGGAAACCTGCAAATCATATCCCCTCTTGGCAATTCATAAGATATGTTAGGAAAGTAAAGTTTTGAAAAATTCTATACCAGACACATGCTTTTTCCTCCCACAGTATTTCCTTATTTTTGCCGTTTTTGTTATTTTCTTTCTTTCTTTTTTAGAGACCCTGAGGGTCTGACTGTCATCCAGGCTAGAGTTCAGTGGAGCAGTCACAGCTCACCGTAGCCTTGACCTCTCTACCTTCAGGTGATTCTCCCACCTCAGTCCCCTGAGTAGCTGGAACTACAGATGTGCACCACTATGCCTGGCTAATTTTTCTATTTTTTTATAGAGATAGGATTTTGCCATGTTGTCTAGGGTGGTCTCAAACTCCTGGGCTCAAGCAGTCCACCTGTCTTGGCCTCCCAAAGTGCTGGCATTACAGGCATGAGCCACCACACCTGCCTTTCCTGCCATTATTTCTGAACTTTATTTGGACACAGTGTGGATAATGTTGTCTTAAAGGATTCAAAGAGTAGTAAGACATGGTCTATTCCATCCTGTCCTACTTTATCTTGTGGGGAATTAAAAATATCTACAAATTCTACAGGGGATGCGCGAGTGGCGATAGGTTAAAATGACAAGAGAACGAATGTGCAAATAGCTAGTCTCAATTTTAATTCAGAGCGTTCATGCTATATGGGGAGAAGCATACACTTTAAAATTCTGACCAGTAGTGAGGGCATTCCTTTAATGCATCACAGTTGAGCTACAACTGTCTCCTAACTGTCCATTTTGTCATTTTGTCCATTTAATCTCTCCTGTTTTATTCTGTCCTGCACTTCTGTATTATTTAATCTTTCAAGGACCATTGCTTAATTTTCTTCTCAAAATATTCTACAGTTTTGCATTCCCTTCATGATGATAACCATGTAATAGATTGATTTGTAAGAAGTTTGTATTATCATAATACAGATCTCTGCTTGGGTGACTTTTATTACATTGTCATTGAATTCTTTTTTAAAACTATTCATTCATCCAGTAAGCATTAATGAAATGTCCTTTCTGTATCTAGTATGATGTTAAGCAATGAGTTTTTTAGTGGAAAGAACTCGGAGCTTGATGTTAGGACCCCCATATTCATATTCAGTCTCTTACCTTCTTAATGATTTAAATAGTGGCCAAGTCTGAAAAGTACAAATAATAATATGTGTATCTCCGTGTCTTACAGATTTGGTTAGTGTATGTGGAAAAGGTCCACTGGATGTCTGCATCAAAGTTGATGGTCAAATGACAATAATTGACTCTGAATCTAAATCTATGTAATGTAGAATATACAAAGTAGTAGACTCAGTCCTTGGAATTTAAGGATTTAGAAGCATTCTGAAAAGGAGCAATATAAATGCAAAAGCAAACATACAAAAACCAGGGAAGAATTCAAACTGCAACTAAAAGCATGGATATGTTTTTCTCTGTGTTCTAGTTTGTCATGTGAGTGCCAGAGTTGCCTTTTGTAATCAGATACTGTGGATTCACATCCTGACTTTATCTCTTGCTAACTCTATGACTTTGGTAAAATTTTTATAAACTTCCTGAACTAATTCTATTTGCTAAAATGATTTAGACAAAACCTTATAGAGTTGGCGTGGAGATTAATCTGACAGTCTTGATGGGAGATATAAATATTTGATGTGTGTCTTTAAAGTATAGATATATTTGAGAAAAGCAGACCGCCTTCTAAATGAAGAGATGGGGAAGAACAAGAAATGTGTGAGGGCTATAAAGGGCTATAGAGGGAATATATTTTGAACAGGATACCTGGGACTCTATTGGGAAGTGGCGAGAGCTGCAGCTTCTCTCTATTGCTGAAGGGAATGGTCATTGCAGGGAGAGGGCAAGAATACGAGCCTGAAGAGTTTAGACTTGTCATGTTAATCCAGGGATGAGAAAGTAAAATTCCTGTGGGTACTGCAAATGACAGATGTGAGCTGGGCCAGGCAATGCAAGTGGAGTAGACCATTGGAACAAACTGGAGACGTGTGCCCCATGTCATGGGGCATCCACTATTCAGCTCTTCCTTTCCTTGCTGCCTCAGTACAGTTAGATGTAATTTCCTGGGAGTAGCCAGAAAAATGTGGAATTTTATCTGAACTTCAGAAATTTTCTTGTTTGCTTCTTCGTGTCATTAAAGATTGCTGTTTCCCTTTGGTATAATAGCCTGCCCTTCTTTTATCCTGGGCTAAATTCAATGTCATGAGCCCCCGTGACTCCCCTCAGACACTACCATCTTTCTAGGACCACTTTCACCTCTTGAGTGATTTTTTCCTATCTCTATTCCAGCACTTAGCCCATCACATTGCAATCTTGAGACTAGGGGCTGTATCTGAGTAGATAGAATCACATGCATGTGCATTGAGACTAGAGATGTCAGGCACAGAAACTCACAAGGGAAATGCACCCTGGGAATCGTGCATAGAGGAAGCCCTGAGGACTAGAGCTGCCTTAGGATCCTTGTTACAATGCCCCGTATAGTGTTTGACATGGAAGTCCTCAATGAGGGTGTGTTGCACATCTGGATTGGGCCTGCTTCTTGAGCAGCAGAAGAGGATTAGGTTACTGCCCATTTCTGCAGCTAAAAAAAGACTGAGGAGATTCAAGTTTCTTTTCAGATTAAAAAAAAAGTTGAGCTCAATTTAGCATAAAAATCTTATTTTGACAAATTTCAAAAAATTATTTTAAAAAATTTTATAATCCTTTAGTCTCAGCCATATCCTTCTCTCTCTCTCTCTCTCTCTCTCTCTCACACACACACACACACACACACATACACACACACACACACACACACACACACACACACACACACAGAGAAAGTGAGAGAATTTCTTATGTGTTGGGCACATGGAGTATTCTTATGCATTAGGCAGTTGTATCCATTATCCAGGAAGCATATATAAGGCTATATTCCAGCAGAAGTAAAA